ACAACTTATTTTCGCAGCTATTAAGATATTATTAAACATAAATTAATAAGAAAATCAATTATTTTTTGACCAGTAACATTATTTTATTTTCATAAATAAACGAAAAACTTCGTTTATTAAATAAATTTAATCAAAAAAATTGTCCACTTATCTTTTCAGCAAGTGTTAGTACTCTAAATGCTTTTTAATTAAGTAATTAAAATTTAAGGATAACTGCTTCTTGTCAGATTAATGCCAATGTGGCATATACATCCTCTTAAGGATACTCATCAGGATAATTATGCAAATTTGAACATTTTCATTGATACAAAGGGAAGCGGATGTATAAAAACTTGTTAAGAATTTACCATTTGAATTTAATGCTTTTTCTGTACATTTTTATTTATTTTATTTTGGTTGCAAAAATATTTAACAATAAAATTTGTTGAAAAACATTTAAGAAATTTGCATAAAAGGCAAAATATTTGTGGCTTTGATTGTGGATTTTTGTTATTCTTAGTTTTGGCAAGAAGGAGCTAAAGCGTCTACTCTTGCTGCCACAACTGCTGCTTTACAAAAGGAAGAAGTCCAATAAATAACAACAACAATGAGCAATGAAAACAGAAGTGTTATGTTTAACAAATATATATAGATGTACATATATATATATACTACCCATATGTTTATAAAGATAAAAGCAGTACATTTTCTGGTACTCTTACAGCAACAAAAATACACTAAAGAAAATTGAGATTTTACAATTGCATAAGTTCTTACCCATGGAGGAGGAAGGATACAAGTACATCTTACCAAATGAAAGTTTATCTATTTATATCTAAACAGATATATATAAATATATTTGTTCGATAGTACGACTGTTGTGTTTTTTTATGATTTTCCGCTTAAGAAAACTGCAAATCGTCCAAATATTTTGTGTTTTTTACACACACTTTACATGCTGATCTCCTCTTTCTGCACCACTTATGTTTGTGCTTCATTTTCTGACCACCAGTTGGAAGTTGCTTGGTTAACTTGGAATACAGCCACTCAACGAGTTGTCGTACATCTTCATCTAAGCTTCAGCCAAGTAGCAATGGCACTCAAAGGAATACAAGGCATATCAATTCAATTTGATTGTGGAACATGATGATAACGATGATGATGATGTGTGTATGACTCAGTGAGTTGATGAAGTACTTACTGTATCCGTAGAAGTTCTTCTACTTTAAATGTGCCGTTTGGCAATGTCTTGCTAAAGAACTTCACAAGGAATTTATTTTAAGTAATAAAAATTAAACAAAAACAAAATTATTTTTGCAAGCTATAAAATTAGCAAAGAGAAGTTTACCAGGATTTTATTTTAAATTTGATTAGTTAGATTTTTGTTGTAATTTTGAGTTAATTTTCTGTTATTCTGGCAATAACGAATAATGTATTTCTTTAATACAAAATTCATTTGATAATCAAAAAGTTTGTCAGATTGAGTTCACCTGACCCAAACCTTCCTGTCAACAAATTGATTAAAATATCCTTCAAGCTTTAATAAAAATATTATATATCATTGCAGATTAATAAAGATTTATAAAGATAAATAAAAATAACAATGTGTCGCTTTAGATATCATACTTCAAGCAACCATTAATTATTTCTAATTAATTTCTCCATATACTTATAGGTTCACTTATCTTCAATAGCATATGAGTGGAATAAATATACTTATAATATAAGCATAATATAAGATAATATTCTTATATTCTTATTATTTAACAGAACATCTCATGATGTGTTGTTTCTGAGCTTAAAAATACTGTCTTTAATTGAAGAAGGATAAGATTTTGAACGTCTCATGTACATACTAGACTTTAATCTAAACATACTGGAGCAAAGATTCTATCTTCTTATTGACACAAATCAAAAGCTTTTCGATTGACAATATCCTGCCTATCATTAAGAAATGCGTATACTGTTACACTACTCTACAATATCATACATGTTACTGTAGCTGTCAAACACAGAGTATAAGATAAACAGATACAGTACATGTTGTTTGAAGTAAAAACTGAAAGATAATGACAAAAACTAACGTCCCAACTATAGAACAGGTCAAGGCGGAATAAAAGGGAGACACTGAGATCTTCATTTATTCTTCAGTATAAGCTTCAAGCAATGAGGAATAACAATACCAAAGAAATAACCTGACAGTAGAAAGAGTTTCAGCAATTGGTGGAATAATGACAATGACAAAGTGTCCTTTGGCTCTGAAGAAAGTCCGTAGTCCTAGCGTACTAAGATAAGAGTAATAAAACTGCCAATACTTACTTACTCATTTGGCCATAAAACCTGTTGTGGGGTTTCGATATAAGACAGCACTTCTGCTATTACGACTACATAAATGGTCTTAGAGAGACTCGTCTTCCTGTATGATGAACTGCTTCTAAAATATATGATTTATGATATATTTATCAATATAATAATATAGTAAGCATTATATCAAATAAACACACGTTTCATTATCTTTACAAAGATTTTAAATGATATAAAAGCTTTTATGATAGAAATTTTTTGTCAAGGCAGGCTCCCTTTAACTCTCTATATCTCGATTAATATCTGAAATGAATCTTAACGTTCCTTAAAACTATTTTATTAAAGGTTTTTACTAAGGAACTATCTTCTTTACTTATCCAACTTTAACATTAAAAAGTCTATCTCCATTCATATATGCTAGATCGTTAAATTAAGGATCAAACACTATTAATTGAAATTAAATAAATTATTTATAAATTCAAATTTATAATATATATAAATTAATAAATTAATTTTAATTAATTTACCTCATTCTCTACTACAAAACTGAATGACTATAGTATATCTGTTGAGCATGACCTCCATATAAAATCCTTTGTATAACAATGAGATGTTTTATATTTGTCCCAATAGTTATGTAGATAAAGCAATTCTTAATGTAAGCATAAGCTATGCTATTTGAACATAAATTAGAATATCTTTTCTACACCTGTTCCGAGTATGGTTCACTTAACTTCCACACAAATTTTTCAGCTTAAAGTTCTAAACAAAAGACCATTTGAACCGTGTGTTAAATAAATGCAACTGAAATGCAATTTGCAACTAAATTGGCTCATTAGCAATAAACACCAAACAATTTCAAGTGTAAATCAAGCAAAAGTTTAAAGAAACTTGAGAGCAAACTTAAACTACTTTTTTCATAATTAATTTACTACAAAAATACATACTTATGACCGACACTTAGAGAGCATGATATGAATCTACACGGACCAGTACTCGTGTATCCATATACTATAGGTACGAGTACGTAACTGGCAGTAACAATACGCTGAGGCGTACAGTCGAAACTGCCAAAGTTTTTCAATAAAATTTTCTTAAGTATCGGAAACAAACTGCATAAGTTCGCTTTGTTTGAAAAACGGAAGAAAAACGTCTTGATTTTATGTGGAAACCAAACACTAAATTGTGTTTAAGTTGAAAGCTGCATTTGCTAATATGCAACCGCAAAGTAAACGCATCCTTCGAAATGACACACACACCCAGTGGTATTGCTTGTCTTGGTGGCAGCTGCGAATTTGAATTTAACGGTCAAAATGCACATATAACCAGAGGCACGCATTTCTAATCGTTGATTTATAGTCGCTGACACATTCTGATAAATACGTTAAGCCGGCTTATGATATGGGAACATCCTTTGTTTGATTATTTGATTTGGAATTTGTTTTAACTTAAACATTTACATTAACTTTTCTCTATTAGAAAAATTATGTTTTATTTTAAAATAGTTTGCATTATACGGTGTAAAAATCTGATGGAGACGTGTATGACAGAAGACGATTAGGTGTGTAAATAGTAGTTGGAATACCAAAGAACAAATTTCTTCTTTTGTGTCTTAAAACATGTTTTTGATTCAATTCGCTTTGATTAAAAGCAGAAAATAGGAATAATAGACTTAAAAATACTTAGCACCATAAAATCATGAGATTTGTCATGATACTCATGACAATTCTCGAGAACTTCAGCATTTGATTCAAAGATTCGAGATTCATAACTGAATTTATGCCTCATTGCGTTCGTACGCCTTCCCTATTGGGTTTGTAATAAGTTCTTCGTAAAACCAGCTTAAGATTTTTTGCGATTGCACCAATAATAAGCGCAAGCTTAACGACAAGCACTTTTTAAACTCCAGCCATACACTTAACCACGAATTATTCTCACTGGTCATCCTGATACTTGCCTCTTGATGTTCTCAAGGGGTACGTCATGGCGCATATGCGTCGTTACAGCTTGACGAATTGTATTCAACCACTTCCATCATCCCGAACACAGTGGTGGTTAACCACTGGAATATAGCACTTAAAAAAATAGATACAAAGCGCATATAAACTGTACTTAGCCCTACTAATTTCTATGTTGATGGTCTAGCTTACCCACATATGATGCCTATTCTACTCTATTTAAATATAAGTGTAATAAATATAATTCGATTACTTTATATTATATACTAATTAATTTAAATATAATTATTAGAAAAATTAAAAAGTACAAAATAAGATAAATAAATAAACAAATAAAGCGATTACATTAAAATAAATGCGAATTTTGTTCTGGTCTTGTGTTCGTTCTTTTGTCCATGAGAATAACCAATAAGTATTCAAAAAGTCACGGTCTTATAAAGTTACCACTGACGGCTTTCACCCAGAGACTATCTAAACCCATCGGAGTGGAAGGGAATACAAGCTTCATGGTCAGCAAAATTAATAATTTACACATCACCTAAGTCAGTATTGAGATTTAAGTTATGACTATGAAATCGGTCCATGTCCATAAAAATCAAAAAAACTCAAAACAAAATCCTATAACAAATTACTCCAAATGTATTTGCATATAATACACTTTTAAATTATTAACTCATTTATTATCTCGCAAAATTTTAAAAACACCTCTAACAAATTTTTTATCTTTAATTATACTTGTATTTAATTTAATTATAATTATAATCAAATAATTTAAAAATTGTTATTCGTAATTAGGTTCATAGAATGGTTCCACCGGTTCCAGTTCAAACCAATACCCACATTCGCAACGCTTAGGGCAGTCCTTCTCAAGCCACATCCATTGCGCAAACCGATTTCCACAGCAAATGCAACCTACTAGACGTGCATCAAAAGCCGACGGAATCATGTTGGGTTCATCTTGAGTGCCTTTTCCACGTTTCATAATAGTCTTTATCTGGAAAGGATCCTCACAGCCATCAGCATACGCTTCAAGTTCTTTGCGCTCAATTCCAGTAGCATGCTCCATAGGGTCTGGCATCTTACGGAACATTCCAGCAGATTGCGAAACGAAACGGCGACCATGGATGGCAGCGATTAATGTGCGGCGCAACATAATAAAAATCTTAAAAATTGTTGTTTTAAAAATAATTCAAATTTTACAAATTGTAGTTTTAAAAAATTTTCAAATTTTTAAAAATTGTACAAATTTTTTGAGAAAATTTTCCGGAGAAGATTAGAAACTATCTCTGCAACAAAATTATTTTAACTGGATAAAATTTTTTTAAAAAAAGTCATTATCTTACCAAAAATATTTTCAGACTACTTTGTTAGTATTTAAAAATTGTAAATTTGAATATTTGTATTATGAGATAACCAATTCACACTAGATGGCGTTAATGCATTTTTTAACAGTAGCTGTCCTTTTCTTAATGTTATCTGTTTTGTTTTATTATTGAACTCATATCTTAATATCTTATTCTTCCGACTAATACTATATTCATATAGCAATGCTATTTAAAGTTTCAGTTCGGGTCGCTTTTGTAGCCTATATTATTTTGCTCTATTGTGAGTAGTTTTAAGGAACGCTTGTTATTTCTCTACAAAGTAAAACAACGCTAACAAAAATTATCAAAATATATTTTTTTTATATTTTAACAACTGCACTATTGTTTTGATGGAGGATTAAATCAACTTAAATCTGTTAAAAACAGTGAAAAAATTTAATGTAGTGGGTTGAGCTTCTACTAAAACAGTCCTAACACCCAGCAGAAAATAAAGTCTTAGAAGGCTTGTTTTACATTGTGATCTATATTTTATGGTCATAATTATTTATTTACACTGGAGTAAATACTACAACGGAGATAATGTTTAAAACTATGTAGGCCTTTGGTTACAACGTCAACTTTTAAAGCGTCAAAATTCAATATGGGAACAAAATGCATATTGCTTAAAATTAATAATAGTCACTTTGATATTAGACCTTTTCTTTTGTAAGCATATCGCAAAAGAACAACACAAAAAGGAGTGCTCTTTTGCCGGCAAGTCTGGAAGAACCAGAAATTTTGTTAGACTTATGTATGCAATACACCTAATAAAATTTGAAGTTGAAGTTTCGAAAATAAATAACCTGCGATTTGTGTTGCTTTATTAGTTAAGTGGTTTCATAAAAGTTGGATTAAATAAGCCAGTAATAGGCCTTTTCTTTTGTAAGCATATCACAAAAGAACAACTGCTTATTTTAAAAATAACATATGAAACAACTAATAAGCAGCTCAAATGGCATGGTTGCCACGACTAAAAAATCGTCTATTGTGAACGTTTTTTAGAAGTACATACGAAATTTCCAGTTAACTGTCAACGAGTGACTTCGTTAATTCTTCGTATTTCGTGTTGTCATTGTTCGTAACAAATACGTTACTTTTTCTATTTATTATTTTACTATTAAAAGACTTGAAAATTCATATTTTATTCACAATAAATAAAAAAAATCGTACCAATAATTGCAAAGAATTATTATTAATTTTAAAAATTTTAACTTTAAATTTTATTACGGGTTTTGCATACATAACATAGGCCTAACAAAATATCCATTTTGTTCAGAGTTGCCATCGAAAACAATGCTTATTTTATTTGTTCTTTTGCGACATGGTTACAAAAGAAAAGGCCTAGTGGTGTTGTTTCATATGTTATTTTTAAAATAAGCAGTTGTTCTTTTGTGATATGCTTACAAAAGAAAAGGCCTATTGTAAAGTTTTTTAAATTTTAAGTTGGCTATGAATTTTATATAGAAATATATGATATAATATGTTCAGCATTGAAAAAAAAATTTTTCATTTATTATGAAGAAAACTTTTGGCTGCAAGTATTAAGTTCTAAATTACGTCACGAAACTTGATAATATGTCGTCCTCTAAAGAAAAAGCTGAAGAGGAGCAAGTAAGTCTAATACTTCTAAACTTTCTTAAATGTTTACTTTTTTGGTTAAAGGGATTACCTTAAATATATTTTTATTTAAATTAGTCTTTATTGAAAGTAATGAAAATAAATTGTTTATTGCAGGTTCATGTCTCCATAGAGAATTGTGAAGATCAAGGAAATGGTAAAGATAACAAAAAAATCCATTTCAGTGACTTGGTTCTTGAAAGTTTGAAAGAAATTGATTGTAAAATGATTAGCTTGGAGCGCTTTATCCATACTGTAGACGAACGAGTAACTGAAGTGCAAAAAGAGCAACAAAGACAGATGGATGAAATGCAAAAAGGACAACAAAGACTGATAGATGAAATGAAAACACCACCTGAACTATCAACAAGGGAGAAAATTCAGCAAGCACTAGATCAAAAGAGACCTGTTGAAACATTCCTATGTATGCAATTTCTAGAAGAGCATGGTATAATTGCCTATCCTTCATCATTCAGAGACATTAATAAAAGAAATGCCAGAGCAAAAAAGGAAAGGCGTACACACAAGTTTATTAAAAAGCACAATTTATAACCTTAAGTTAATCTTTTTATACGAGGTGCTGTCTATTATTCAAGAAGATGTGAGTTAGTAACTTAAGTGAAATTTTTTAAATAAATGAGTATTTACTGAAAATATACAACTAATATGGTTTTTATTTTTCATTAATATAGAGCGAATTATAGGCATAAGCATTTATTTTCTTGACTTCATTTTTCGTTTCATGTTCCTTAGTTTAGAACCTAAACTGTTTTCTTGTCAATAATTGTTTAGAATTGTTTTTTATTTTGACAAATAAAAGTATTTCTAGAACGGCTTTAAGTTTCTTATACATAGATTGTAGGGATAGCCTACAGAGGTCCTGAGATTGTTGTCTTCGTCCATACAGCTACACCGTACTTGGCCGCTGACTTTACCCGATGTAGCACAGAAATACGGAGGTAATTTGTTGAAGTATACTATAACCCTCCTTTGCCAATGTTAAATTTTATTAGCAATAGAACATTTTACATATAGACACTATTTACATATACATATGCAATATATGTCAAGTGCCACTTTTTTAATAAATGAATCAATCGATGCTATGAAGTTCACATTGTAACTGCTAATAACCGAACAACAAATACAAGAACTCAAAAACTTCCATAGTATATGTACATATATTTACATGATTTTTAAATGATATTTATTGTATGTTAGACTATAAGCTACAGGAAGTATTTTTTAATTTCTTGATTTTTATTTTATAATTTATAATTTATTAAGATATGTATAATATACATATCAACAGCGCTCTCTCGTCAGTTCTACAACATTTATACGTCCGATATTCCAATGTTAGGTCCCTCGACACTGGCGTTATACGCTGACGATACGTGTATGCTATACTGTATGCTATATGTATAGCATATACGTGTATGCTATAAATGTACTCTCAATATAACCAACACACTTCAGGAGCATATAAGCCTTTATCCTAGAGTATTTCCAGAAATGGAAAATAAAAATTAATAATGAAAAAACTAAGGTTCTGTTCATTATGCGTAAGAGGACACAAAACCTGTCCAGAGTGAGAGTGGGAGATATGGCAATAAACTGGGAGGATAGCATTAAATATCTATGCATTATGGTGAAGAAACGATTCATATGACTTAAACATGTTCAACTGAAAAGAATTAGCTGTTCCAAAATTCCTCATCACCTCCAACCGCTATGTAAAAATGAGAATCTCAATGCTAAGAACAAGAAGCTGATATATAACCAAATAATTCGACCGTTACTTCTACATGGGTGTGTAGCGTTCAGCAAGGCCTTAATAATCACATAATCACTTCTTTATATATGAACTTGTATTAACAATAATATTTGAGATTATAATACGTATTGTGAACTGTTATTCACAATAGTTTGACGTTTCCGATAACAGCGCTCAGTATATTTTACAATTTAAAGGTTATGTTTTCCTTTGAGTTTCTTTTTGTCATTCATGTTGATTAGTTCAGTTTTTATAGGTTTTATTTTTGTTATAAAACTGTTATTATTTTATAAAAGCCTATATTTGCAGGAAAAAGCATTAGGTGTTCAGATTGCGAGTTTTGTTGGAAATTTAAAAGGACGGTAAGATATATAATTAAAATTCTCTTAAGCGGATACTGATGTGGCTAAGAACTGTACCCGTCTAAAATAGCTTAAATTGATGTTGCATTCATAAATGTATATAGTACATATATATGTATATTTATATACCATATATACACTATTAATAATTAATAGATTTAAATACATACATACATACATATTATATATATTAATTAATAATGCGATTAAATAATTTTTAATTATTTCTAAATATTCCTCAGGTATGCATATGTCACTTTTCTCTTGCACTCTCCAATTAGAAGTTCTATAGACATAAATTTTATACTGAACTGTTCGGTATCTCTTAACATGGGAGTGCTTATATTTTAACTTCGAATTTAACTAACACCTATAGACATATTAATATATTTACTGTAGTGCCCTGAAAGTAGATGGTTTGAAAGTATTTTTAAAGTTACTCCATTACTCATGAACTTAGTTTACACTACATTTTGACAAGATATTGTCGCCACTTCCTTAACTAAATATGCAGTTATATGTGCCCACGCATAACCCAATTGAGCACATAATAAAATTGTAAACATGAAATTTTATTAGTCCAACTTATGCACCAAGGAGCAAAACGTTCTAGGACCTTTGCGTCCGTTTTATATGCACAGTCAGGCAAACTGAAAATGAATGAAAATAACGAAATAAACGTAAAAATAACTAAAATACTCGTATAAAGAAATGTATCTTCATTCGGTTCATGCTTAAAATACATTTTTTGATACTTTATTTTTATTAAATTTGTCCGTCTGCCGAGGCAAAATGACTTTGCTATTTGGGCTGCTAGAGAGATGAAGTCCACAGCTGCTCCTATGGAAGTGCATGGAAGTGTACGGAAGTGTAGTCAAATGAGTTAAATGCTTACTACGTTTTTGGGTAGTAAAATTTTTTCATTTGCCTTTTTATATCAATTTTGTCTTATTTTTATTTATTCATATTTTTTTTTATTATTATTTTTTTTTTAACTTGAAATTGTACTAATTTTCCAGCGGGAAAAATTTAAAACTAACATACGACAACCATCAACAGAGTCTGTACTAGAAAAGATGTTCTGTCAGTTGAACCGTAAATTATTTAAGTAGAGCTTCAATGAGTTCCATCTTATAGAACGTTTTGTACATCAGCCGTAAAAAGTAAAAATTTCTTTAGCATAAACAGAAATTTTTCAGTTTCATTGGAGTACACAAATGAACATAGTTGTCTTGGCATAAATAATTTTACATACCTTGGATATAACATACATGTTATATATGTTTCGGATTGAGTTGGATTCTTGTGCTAAATCGTATATGCTTGCAGAAAGTAATATCTTAGGAAAAGACTATGACAACGTTCTGAAAGTTATACTAATTTTAATCACTTTAAGAACTACAATTTTATTCTCTTCAGAAATTATTACATCATTCTAATATTTCACTATTTCTTACTGGCTCTTTATCAAGAGAAAAAATCCTATATCGTTTAACGCAGGAAAAAATTATAAAAATTTTCTCGACTAAGAATATTTTTTAATATGTAATATATAATGTCAAAAATATAGTAAAGCAGCCAGGATGATATCAAATGGGGATATACTAAAAATATTTCTATCATAGTTTTTTTTGCAGTTCACAAGATTAATTAGAATAAGATTAAGCAACAGTTTAATATATATATATATACCAATACATCAATACGTTACAAGCTAACTAATGTTAGTATAAAAGTATAAGTATAGGACACAAGTATAAAATCCGAAATATATAAGAAATATCTGCAGATTATATTAATGGATTTTTAGTAGATATTAGTGGATTATATTGTTTATGAGTTAAACGCCCAAGGAATTTTTTTTTTTGGAATTTTTCGTCAAAATGTTTTTTTAAAGCTTAATTAGTAAAAGGTGGGGGTGTGGAGTGAAGTCCTAAATATTTTTGTAAAGCTAAAGCTTCAAACATTCAAAGTAATGATATATATAAATTCTAAAGTTTTTCTAATATAAACAAAAAATCCATGAATAGTGATAAAATTTGTTGTTCGATTAATCGAACGTTGAGCGAATATGTGTTAAGGTGAGATCTATTCTCTAATCACCCTCTACCCTGTATACGACACTGTAAGATTGAAACAAAATTGAGCACATATATCATGTAAAGGACTGATAGCTGTATTTCAAGGGCAGTAATAATTTTTGTTTAAAATAGGACTGAACTTAAAACAATTAGCCGAACTTATACGGTTAACAATAGGTATATGGCAACAGCAAGATTAAATAGAACTTTTTTAAGACGTTAAGAATTATCTACTATTTCCTGTATTTCGCATATATTGCTAAGAATATGGGTGACATAGAAAAAGATCATATTATTGCGGTTATCTTAGAAATCTACTTAGTCTAGTTGGTCTCTTGTGTTGTAGTGCAGATTTCAAAGAAAGAATAAAGGCTAAGTTGCTCTTCAAGGGGATTTAAAAAAAATAGTTGGCTTTCACGCTGTTAACAAAGCATTTTTGCCATTCAGATAGACAGTTGAATATGATTTTATATTTCTCAAAATAACGGAATCATGTTATAGTTTTTAGATTGTAAAAAACTGCAAGAGCCATTAGTTAATAAACTTAATTATTCTTTATGAGGCTTAATACTAAGCTAAACAGCTTAAAAAAGTAAAATATTTATATATGTAAAATATGATTTCTAAAAGGGGGCCATGAATTTTTGTATTAAATAAATCATTTGTCTTAAAAATATACTTAGTATTTTATGCAATAAGAGTCTGTGTTTTTATAAAGGATATAACTATCAAATAACTCAGATTCGCTCAGCGGAAAAATTAAATATAAACATTATATCTCCATGAAGTCCAAATTATTTTGATGATTATTATGGTTAGCCATCATTTATGTATCATTTATCATATAAGCCTAGCCAAGAAGTAGCTTGTGATATAACCTTCTCTAAAAGAATCCTTCCATTATAAAGAAGTAAATAATGTTCCGTCGAATGTCATTGTAAATAAATAATTGAAAACCCTAAATTAATATTGGATTGCTTAGTTTACTCTATTTTTTTTAGATATTTTATTTAAATTTTGACAATTTTTTTTCATTACTTTAATTAATTTTTAAAAACAAAATTGCATTCAATAATTATCCGTGCTTTTACTTTTCCGATTTGGTGCTTGATTTCAGTTTACTTGTACTTCTAAAATTGATCGCAACTCATTAGTTGACCTACACATAAGTTGACTTTTTTCGATATAATTTCTTACAATAGAAATGGTTTTTAAGTATCTATCACGCCGTTATGACGAAGAGTTCCAAACAAGGGCATATAAAATCAATGGCAATATTATTTATATTTTTTATTTTATTTTAATTTAAAACTAAAATTTTTGTTTTATTTTAGAAAGTATGATGAATGTCAAGAATGCACCAGTAGTTATTAAAGTCAGTCCAGTTAATGAATACACAAAACTAAAGTCCGAAAAATCAGTGAAAACAAAGGATAAAGTACAGTCAAAACCCAAATTCAAGAAACTACTACGTAAACGTGATGGGTAAATGTTGATTTTGGTCATATATAAAGAAAGTTCTATCATATCATAACTCACTTTAGGTATGATGTAGATACTATACCAATCACAACACGTCATAAACTCGAAAAAATTCTTAAAGTACCTTTACTTGAACGTTACAAGGGTGTGAACGATGGTAATCCGAGTTATAAAATTTGGAAACCCGATAACCAATCTCCGATAAGCAAAAAATCTTCAACAAATCTTGAGTTATTAAAAAAAGATTTCATTGGTAAAACTAAATCTCAGAATAAGTTTGAAAATGACAACGAGATGGACAAACTTATGGAAGCTGATGAAATAAATTCCATTCGGTCAAATGAAGTTAGTGGTACCAGTAGTTATGGTATTGAAGATAGCAATAAACAAAGCTATGATTGTTTGACTTGTGGAAAACAGTTCAATAAACCCTGGAAACTAGAAGGTCACTCCCGTGTGCATACTGGCGAAAAACCACTGGCGTGCCCATTAAAATCATGTGACAAATGTTTTGCTAATCAGTGAGTTTCTCTCTACTATAGTTTGATCATATAAGATCGCTATATATAATTTATAATTTATTTTACTTTAGTTCTAACTTACGTGCTCATCAACGTGCCAAAGGCCATCACGACTGGTCCTTCAAATGTTCGCTGTGTTCTAAAGCTTTTATTTCAATGATGTCTTTAGGTCGCCACAGTGCTTCCGCATGTCAAAAGTATATATTACAACAGAAGCGGGCGAAGGCTGTTGGTAAAACTATTACATGAAGAAGATGAACATATTAAATGCCTTTTATAGAATTATCCATTTTTAATATAATATAAACAAATATAAGTTATACTAAGAATAGAACTAAATTGTAATAAAGCTGAATCATATCTTCTCTCACTGCATGTGATTCGACATAAGAAATAAAGATATATAAAAACAATACAATCTTATCTGAGTCAAGATCTGTACCATACATATAGATAGATAGATACTAATGGCGCCTCGTCTTAAGATAGTGACTCGTTGGTAGTTAAACAAGTTTTGCATAACAATTCTTGGATGCATTCTTGCGAAGAGGAAGAGAGGTTTTTTTTAAAAATTATATATTCACAGTCCTGTATATTCACAGTAAGTAAATCCAGAAGTGTCAAATAGTAGAACCCCATTATTTTTTATTTAAAGCATGAGCATAGATGGGAGCATATCAGTCATTAGATAAATAAATTTTGCTTATAAATGGGCTGGGTGAGTTATTGCGTTGAAGGAAGTTTGTTTTCTATTGCAATGCTTCCACTGCATTATTATGAACAGCTAGTAGATCTTAAAGCAACACATAACACAACCTCAATATTCCCTGTTTCTTCTCTACACAGTCAATTATATGTATTCTTAATGTAAAGCATTATTATGGTAGACTGATATAATCTTGAAGAGTTTCTCAAGAAGCAGCGTTAGACTTCTTTAACAATATTTAAGGTTTAGAGTATATGGGAATCATTTTTTTTCGTTATAATAACTCATATTTTTTAAATAGAATATATATATTTTAAATAAGTGTCTTATTAATCTAAACAGCAATACATAAGCAGATTAATGAAGTATTCGTAAAATAGTTCTTGATAAAAATCTTTGAAGTAGCCCTCGTATAAAATATATTGATGTTTATGTTGAAACATTCTTTCCATACAAACTGGCCTCTGTGGTCTGACAACAAGTGTTTACGTGGTAAATTTTCTTATAGAACTTAATTTGTCTGATGCTGAGTAAAAATTCTCACAAAATATCGTGGTCTATTTTTTTCACATTTTAAGCGGCTTATGATGCTACGCTGGATGTCGCCGGCGAAATCCCTTAGCGTAAATGTCAACTCAGCTGAAATGTATTTTATTAGCGGAATTCGTGATGCGCCCACTCTTGGTTGGCGGTTCTGTTGTGGTTCGAGAGTTGTTAAAAGTTTTACACTAAATTTGGTGTCAAAAGGAAACACTAATTTATGTCTTGACTGAGAGAAGTCACAAAAAATTCCTATACAATTGCATTTATGCAAGAAATGCGCTTAAAGATGTGTCCATCATTAAATCTTATGGAAAATTCAGAAAAATGAATTGTAGATACTTTTGCTTAACAAATGCGCTAAAACATAAACAGTTTTAGCTTACCACGATTAGTGCGAGGTTTATTCAGAAAAATAGTTGTCTATTTATGTCGAATACTTCGTGCACAGTGTCCTGTATTTTACCTATCAAAGGATTTATGAGGCCCTGGTGTGTATTTTATTGCGAATTTGTGGCATTTTAATTAGTTTAATTTGTGCAATTTCACATGCAACTAATATCCAACCTAAGTCAGTACGGTTATATGTAAAATTAAATGTTAGATATCAAACAGTTAATAATTTATAGACAATGTACATTAGTTTTACGAGGTCCTTGGAAAAATTGGTCCCAAAACGTGGCATTAGTTGCGTTTCTAATTGCGCCACAAATTCAAAATCGTGAAATTGTCAGTAAATGCAGCTAAAATAGTAAATTTATGTTTAGATATTTATTTTCCTTTTTTTTTCTTAATACATAATCTAAAAAAATACTGTTTAAATATTTAGAATTTTAGACAAAAGAAAATTTTGTAGATCAATTGATACTAATACCGTTGGTTACAAGAATGAAATTTATGTAAGAAGTTTTAAGAAGTAATTAATAAAACAAAAACAATTTAAATTCTAAAAAATATGAATTGTTGAGGCTAGTTGAGTCAGTGCACCTGAGCACTTTTACTCTCTCTTAACTGCGAGGTTTCTTCAAAACCCCTCTTTGCGCATTGACTAGTTTATTGTTCATCACTTCATCAGACTAAGCAATAATGGACCTCAGATCTGCATACCGCCCCGAGGAGCCTGTAACCATTCTGAGATTTTGATAATGCGGTGTTGTTAAGTCTGTTAGTTTTCGCAAATAATTTCAAGGCTCTATCCTTTATGTATTTTTTGATGGAATCAATCTTGCGGTCCCTGAGGATGTCATTCGTTCTAATGTACCATTGTACTTTGAAAAGTCTTCTCAGAGCCTGACTTTGTGCAATTTCTAGCTGGTGAATAGTAGTGTTTGAAGCTTAGCTAAACGCTACACAACCATATAGGTAGAAGTGACGGACGAATTATTTGGTTATATATCAGTTTCTTGTTGTTAACATTGAGATTTTCATTTCTGAATAGCGGTTGGAGATGATGAAGAATTTTGGCACAACTAATTCTTTTCAGTTGAACATTTTTAAACCATGTGAATCGTTTGTCCAGCTTGATACCGATATATTTAACGCTATCCTCCCAGTTTATTACCATATCACCCACTCTCACTCTCGACGGATTCTGTCTCCGCTTACGCGTTATAAACAGAGCCTTAGTTTTTTCATATAAACGTTAATGTTTCTTAAAATTTTTTAAGACATATGTTCACTTAAAAGAAAATCTTCATTTTGGACTTACATTTTTCTACTTATTTAAAAATTTTATTTATTAAATTAATCTAACACATATACACATATCATCCATACTTAATGCATAATTAAAAAAAATTTGTACTATGCATCAGTGATATACCCTGGGATTTAATTTTTTTTTTTAACGAAAAATGATTGCATACGAGTATATTTTTGCCTGAAAAACTTTGTGATGGTGTACACAGGCTTTTTGGGATTATTTCAGACACATATGTTGCATTTGCATTTCATCATCATTGACAACTTTTAATTCAACATTAGATTTTGTTTTTGTTTGTGAAACACTACGATATCTTTTTAGAAAAAAACATTTTTTATGATGATGCAAAATGAAATCAACTTCACCGAACGGAAAAGTTAATTTGAGGTTTTGATAACGAAACTTTTTCATTAATTATACTAAATTTCTACCAAGAAGTTGAATAACAAGGGGAATAAGGAAAATATTTTGCAGTTGGATATTGTTTAAATATAATACAAAGAAAGATATTCTTCTTCAATTAAACTGTATCTATAGCATTAAAATGATTGACAAAAGCAGTGTTAGACTTAGGAACCCCGGATAAAATATGACGATCTCCGAATATCTTATTACATACAAAATTGTTTCTTCAACATTAATTAACATTAAAGTCAAAATTTTATAAAATAATGGATAGAATCACCACTCTGCAAATCTTTATCAACCATAGACTTCACTATATCTTACTAACTTTCTAATTAAACACAATACCTGAGCTTGAGTTATGGTTATTGCAGCTAATAGTTATTATTAATAAATAGGCTATGAATGCATCCCGACCTAAAAGATCTACTGTGCGCCTAAAGGCCCAACTAAAACAATTCTAGACGCTTTCAAGGTAATCGAGTATACGTCTTGCCGCTGCTGAGTAGTTGCATAGAATATGTTCTGATGTTTCCTCATGACAGAGTCGACAGGCATCACTTTCTACCGCACCTATAATCTTCATAAGATAACTAAGTTTATAGTGTTCTGTAAGAAGTTCAGTGTATCGTTTCTGCTAAGATTAAGGATAGCATCAACTTTGATATGTTTAGGATCAGTGAATCTTCCTGACTGCCGCATGCCCGTTATCCCACAGAACTGCTCTAGATCAATGAAAGAAGTACATGTACCCTTCTTTGCTAGGGAGTCTACTATTTCATTGCTTTCATGCCCTTCATGTCCCGGTAACCATATAATAGTAATATAGTTCCTCCTCGATGCTAAGGTATTGAGAAGTTGAAAGCATTCACAGACCATCTTTGATTTACTTATAGTTAGTATTGACCTAGAAACGTAAGTTGATGGTATATTATACGCAGAGTTGTAAAAGATGTAATAAAAATATTTCCAAAGACACCAGAACACTCGATAGTTACCGCCACATGTAGAGGAGACAAATTGAAGCGGAGTCTTAATGTGAAAGGGTAGTTCCTTGTATACATTATACCATAACTATATGACAACCATACCATAAACTAATACCATACCATAACTAATTGATATAATGCAGTCAATTACTTACTTTTGGCAAGATTTTTGTGCTCACATGTAAATAGATATTATTACCGAGCATTTGGAAAGCCACAAATATTTGTATATGTAAGTAATAAATTATGTATTAAATGTGTATTAAAATTATGTATGTGTTAAATTGCTAAACCTCTGTCGGTATAAAGATCCTGTAAGAGTATCAACATGTATCTTATCGTGGAGCATTTATGAAGTTCAGTCAGGAACATACCTAATTAAGTTATGCTAGTTATTAAGGTACATACAGTACAGCATATATTACCTTATCTAATTATAGTTAGTGTTTACTTAGGCACATATGTCTTGAACATCAATATGTATAACCATTTTATACAGTTCCTCTTGAAATGCTGTCACTGAAATTATTTTTAACCAAATTATAATGAAGACGAGGAGATTAGATAAGACAATCGCTTCAGTTTAATCATAATTTAATGCACACGGACTCACACAGATTGCACATTGATTCTAGAGACAATTGAAGGCACTATTACTGATTGTACAGTACTACTCGCTGATGTTATTCTCTGGAAGTTACCTAATTATTTGATTGCTGTCAATATAAAGTAGTTTAGAAGCTAGATCATCATACACCAGTTCAGTTACCTATTGACACCAAATATATTACAGTAAATAAATTTATCTCAAGCAAAAGTTAATCAATCCATTAAAGTTTTTACTGGCTGCACTTAAAGAAGTTTTGTTCATACTACCTTAATATGGAATATAGATTCAAAAATTTGAAAAGTAGCACAATTTACTATTAAAAAGAATAACGACTGATGTTTTTCCGTATTTAAAAATAATTTTCGCATTTACAAAGTTTTTTATGTACTTGAAAAAGTAATATTGTGCCAGATTCATCTCGTTTACACTTTCCCTGAACATCTTGCAAATATTTAA